CTCATCTGGTGAAAACGACAAACGAATCTCTTCATCATGTACTTTCATTCGAAATGAAGGTCCCCCTAACGAAGAGGGTTTGGTAAAATGACAAAATAAGGCGCTCGGTCGAGGCGAGAGTGCGGATACCGGCACAAGTCGCATCCACGTAGTAAAACTGAAGAGATGGCATAGCAACTAATGCAGGAAAGGTTAGCAATCCCATTAGTGCTAGTCCTTAGTCTACCCAACATCGCCATGACAACTAATGTTGAAGTCGTTCTAGCTGGAAGCCTAAATGGTGTCTCGTCCAGTTGAGCCTGATAGTGTCGACATGGCGGTAGATGAAACCGATTAAGCGGATTATTCTCTGCGCTCGCCTGATGATCCCGCCTCTTCACAGTTCAATCTCGACGCATTTGCCTCCCTCGCGCAAGTTGTACCATCGTGGACGAATCATCATCAGCGGAAGGAGAGGCTGGCGAATCTCGGATAGACTGTAGAGTTTGAAAGAATAAGAAGTCAGCTTCTTTTCAGGCCAGTTGGTCAATGTAAAAGAAGAAGTATGAAGACCAAGATGGTGTGGCCTTTTTTGTGGTCGCAGTCTCCTTTCATTGTTTAGAAGTTGTTTGACGATATTTTCGCAACTTGGTCATATTGGTAGGAAGATTTAGAGGTAGACGCAGCTTGTCCGGAGTCCATTGTATGCATAATTATTTGCAAAGTCGTAGCGTGGACGCGGTTCCTCTAAGTCTTCCAACTAATATGACCAAGTTGCGAAAACAAGGTCAAACAACTTGTATAAAATAAGAAGGTATGCAAGGATTGAAGGGCATCTTTGCTACATTTTGCAAGACATGCCAATTGTCTCGATCACCTGCTCCCTACCAATTCAAGTTCATGCTGTCCATTATGACAGCAAATACACATTTTATGCCACCAGCTCTGGCCGTCGTTGGTGCCCACTTGCGAAGGCACGTGAAACCAACCCAAAAGGGTCCTCAAACCAACCAAAACTGCACACCCAAAATGCACATTTGCTGCATCGACACTTCCACACCAAGCATGTGACATGTTGACGGCCTGCAATGCCACGAAGTGCACGTCAATCCTGCCACCAGATCGGCGTGGCGTAATGCTGTTGCGTGAAAAGTGTTCGTGGCACTGATCGGATTCAAGTTCTGTCGGCCGACCTGCAGCAGAGTCGAGACGAGATAAGATGTCCCTCTTTGGGCGTAAGGCAACCAAAGAAATGCTCATATGTTTATGGGAAATGTCAACTGTCAGTCCTTCATCACCTTGCCCCACTCAGGCGAAAAACACAGTTTTATTGCCTACCAAATTTGCCAATAAAGTGCGTGAACCAAGCTTCTCAAGTCTGCAATACATGCACATGATCTAGGCCTGCAATTGGTTAGTTTCAATTTCGTATGAAAATGTGGATAATTGGGCTCGTCCTAAATTGAACAAGAATTGCAAGTGACCTGAGATATGATGAGAATTTGGGTTTCGAAGAATCCTTTGGTAGAT